TGAATAAAGCTACCGTAAACATTTGTGTTCATGTTTTGTGTGAAATAAGTTTTTGTTTCTCTTGGGGAAAAAACTGGTAGTGAGATTTCTGGACTGTCATGTCAGATGTATATTAAAGTTTCTAAGAAACTGCCCAACTGTTTTTCAAAGTAGCTGTATCATTGTAATTCTTACCAGGAATGTATGAGAGCTCTGGGAGTCCCATATCCTTCGAGCACTTGCTACGTGTGCAGTCTTTTATTTAGCCAATCCGTAATGTTATGTAGTGGTATCTCATCATGATTTTAATTTCCTAATATCATAAATGTCAAGCATCTTACATGGCTACTGTTTTCCATCTGTATATCTTTGGTGAAGTGTCTGTTCAAATCTCTGTCCATTTTTTTATTATGTTGTTTGTCATCTTATGACTGAGTTATAAAGTTTCTTTATAAGTACGTAGTCACATACACAGAGTCCTTTATCAAAGAGGTAGTCACAGATATTTTGTCCAGTCTGTGGCTTACATTTTCATTTTCTTAACAATGTCTTTCAAAGGTCAGAAACTTAAAATTTTGATGAAGTCAGATCTTTATTAATTTTTTTTCCTATGGGGTGTAAACTTGATATCATATCTAAGAAATCTTTCCCATCCCAGAGTCAGAGTCACAAGGATTTGCTCCTATGTTTTATTCTAAAAGTTGTATCATTTTAAGCATTACATTTAGGTCTAAGATCCATTTTAATTTTGTTCTTTGTGCAAGGTATGGGTTAAGCTTTATTTTTTAACTTTGCACTGGATGCCTTATTGGTGGCAAAATGCTCATCCTTCTCTTCGACCCATTGTCTGTTGCCACTCTCTCTGTCAAAATAATGTTCATATGTGGATGGTTCTATGTCTGGACTTATTCTCATTTCTCACACTACCCTTCATGTTAATGTACTGTAGCTTTATATAATGTAGGTTAAGTATGAATCGCCCCACCCGTCTCTGTCTCTTCCTGTCTTCTCGGCATCTCTACCACCCTTCTACTTCTTTTGCTTTTCCTTATAAATTTTATAATCAGCTTGCCAATTTCTATAAAACTTCCTTCTGGGTTTTTGATTGTATTGCATTTGAGGAATTGACACCTTAACAATATTCAGTCTTCCAATCCACGAACGTTGTGTATATCTCTATTTAAGTTTTTTAACTTCTTTCATCAGCACTCTGCTCTCTCATATACATTTGACATATCTTTAAAAGTATTTTCACTCTTCACTTCGCTCTTTTCTGCCAGTCTCGCTCAAGGTAACTTAAAATTACTCTCCCAACCTCACTTCGTTAACTCACAGCTATCATACGCATCATTGACCCTGCTCACTTAATTGCCACCTCTCTGTCACTCTTCTGACTCTGTAACCACTCACTTATTGTTGTGTACTTTCTCCGACTCTTTGGATTTTACCTAACACATCATCATGCTAATAGGGCTTCTTTTTTTTCAGATTGTTTTGAATCTCTCCTTGCGCTCTATTACACTGGCTAGGATCTCCAGTATGACTTTGAGTAAGAGTGTTCCCACTCTTAGAGGGAAAGCATTCAGTCTTTAACCATGAAGAATATTAGCTGCAGATTTGGGGGGGGGTCAGGTTGAGGAATTTCACTTCTATTCAGTTTACTGAGAGTTTTTTAGCATAATATTGCATTTCATCAAATGCTTTTTCTGCATCACTTAAGATGGTCACATGGCTTTTGTTCTTTTGTCTGGTGATATGGTGGATTATATTGATTGATTTTAACATTTAGGGTTGAATCAACACTGCATTCTAGTAATTAACCTCATTTGGTCATATTTATTATCCTCATATTAGCTAGATTAGATTTGCTAATATGTTGTTGAAGACTTTTATGCCTATTTCATGAAGAATACTGGTCTATGGTTTTCTTTTCTTACAATGTCTTTGGTTGTGGTGTTAGGGTAATACAGGTAAGATGAACTGGGAAGTGTTCTTTTCAATTTTATGAAGAAGTTTGTGTAAAATTGGTATTATTTCTTTCTTAAATGTTTCATAGAATTTGTCAGTAAAACCATCTGTATCTGGAGTTTTCTTTGTTGGAAAACATGTAAGTTGTCAGATTTATTGGTATAAAGATTTCATAATATTTCCCTGTTATCCTTTATATATCGGCAAAATCTGAATTGATGCCTCTTCTCTCATTCCTGATATTGGAAATTCATGTTTTCCCTCTTTTTCTCTTAAATAATCTGGTAGTAAGTTTATCAGTTTTATTGGTATTTTCAAAGAACCAGCTTTTGGCATTATTGATTTTTTAAAAAATTTTATTGGCTTCTGATCTTTATTATATTCTCCTGCTTAATTTGGATTTAATTTGCTCTTATTTTCCTATTTTTCCTAGTTTCTTATTGGAAGCATAGATAATTGATTTGAGACCCTTCCTTTCTAATATAAGCATTTATTGCCAGAAATGTCCCTCTACATACTGTTTTTATTACATCCCGTGATTTTTGATGTTTTCATTTTTGTTCAATTCAAAATGTTTTCTAATTTCCTTTGTGATTTCCTCTTTGACCCATGAGTTATTTATAAGTGTATTTTCTAACTTCTAGATATTTGGAAATTTCTCAGGAATATTTATTATTGGTTTCTAATTTAATTCCATTGTGATCGGAGGATACACTTTACATGGTTTCTATTTTTTTTTTACATTCGTTGTGCTTTGTTTTATTGCCCAGAAGACAATCTTTTTTGGGCACATGTTGCACATGCATTTTTAAATGTTGCACATGCACTTAAAGAGAATATGTATTCTGGTGTTGATAGGCAGCGTGTCCCGTAAATGTCAATTGGGTTAAGTGTTGTGATAGTATTGTTTATGTCTTCTACATGCTTATTGGTTTTCTGTCTACCTGCTCTGTTGCTCAATCAGAAGTGTTGAAGTCTCCACCTATAATTGTGGATTTGTCTATTTCTCCATTTTCTTCTATCAATTTTTGCTTTGTGCATTTTGAAGCTCTGTTATGTGCTTCATAATATTTAGGATTTCAAAACATTTAGAATAGTTTTATCTTCTTGCTTCAATGACCCATTTATCATAATGTGATCTTCCTCTTTATCGTTGGTAATATTCCTTATTCTGAAGTCTACGGTATCTGATATTAATACAGCCACTCCAACTTGCCTTTGATTAGTGTGTCTGCATCTTTTATTTTTGATCCTTTTACTTTTAACATGTCTATTTCTTTATATTTAAAATGGGCTTTTTGTACATAGCATGTAGTTAGAGCTTACTTATTTATCCACTATAACAATGTCTATCTTTTAATTGATGTGTTTAGACCATGTGTGTTTTTTTTATTTTAAAAAAAAAACTTTCTTACTTTTTAATGTTTTAAAAATGTCATAGCCATTTCCAGGGACCATAAAAGACTTTGATGTCCTTAAGGCCCGTAACATGGCTTTACTTATTGCCAGCTTTTAAATAATTTCTACAGAAACACTTTCAGGTGAGCAGATTCATTGGCAAGCTTAGCCATTTGTATTTAATGTCATATTGCTATGATTGAATTTAAATCTACCATCTGTCATGCACGCATCCAAACCTCTTCACAACCTTAAGCTCCGCTCTTAGGATTGAGTGTGAATTTATGATTAGTAGACCTTTCTGGAAGATAACACAGTCACTGTCTCTATCCCTAGCTTTTCCCAACTCCAGGCCCTGAGAGAACTTTGCTGATTTCAGGGAAAGCAAAATGAAAACGAATTTGGGAAACATATCATTTTGTACTCTCTTACTGTGACACTCTGGCTTGGATCAGAGAACTCAGAATATAAATCAGATCTACTCCACCCACACTTTCTTCTTCTTGCACATGTCCGCCCACAGACCAAGCAGCAGCAGCAGTGAGAACCATGTGATGAACACCCAGGGGCACGCTGGAGCCTGCTTGTACCTGCCTGTGAGAACCAATTAGTAACTTTCCCCAAATTTTTCCAGCTGGGTTTTAAACACAGCCATTATTAACACTTAATATACATATAAATTTACAATTAAATAAATTATCTTAAAAACAAAAATGATACTCAAAACTCATTTCTTCCTGATTATTTTACCTCATTTTACTATTATTTGTGCTCTTAAGGTTATTAATGTCTCATGTATCTATATGGTGGAAATCTTTTATAATGACATGCTACTGCTTGTCTCTTCCCAAATCTGTGTTCAGTGGTATCACATTGGTAGCTTGACGTTGGCCATGGTAGAAGCATTTGCACCATGGAAATCAGTATAAATGATTGTTTTGTTTTGTTGATTTTCTAGACTAAGGGTCAAGCAGATTCTTTCTATAAAGAGCCAGACAGTATTTTAGGCTTTGTGAGCCACGTACTGTGTCTGCTTCTTTGGTTGTTAGATCTCACACTACCCAAAAACCGGCCACAGGTTGGCTTTGGCTCACGGGCTAGACTTTGGCAGCCTCTGGTCTAGACTTCAGAAAGTAACAGAGAAAATGCTAATAATACAGATGAAGCTCAAAACTCATACTGGTACCCCTGAAGGAAACCATCGAAGGATTACAGCAGATTTTGGCAGGCGACTATGACCATCTCCCAGAACTGGACTTCTACACGGGGGACCCATTGAAGAAGCGGTGGCGATAGCTGATGAGCTGGCTGAAGAGCACTCGTTGGGAGGGGTCCTTTTGGCAAAACAAGCACTCGTCCTTCATGCTGTCCCTCTTCTTGGACCCTAATCCAAAAAGCTTCAGGCCACATAAGAGCCTTGATTGAAGACATTACGTTCTGTCTGGAGAGTACTTATGGTTTCCAATAAAATGTATACCCCTCAGAAAAATAAAGGCAGTGGGCTATGGGAAACCCAAAGCAACTAACATGGCAATTCACTGGTGAAGAGTTGCAGATGTGTCTTGCACGGGGTACGAGACCACTTGGAAACGGCCAACAGACGAGCCTTAACTCACATTGGCCTTTCTAACTAGAGAGTCAAAAAGCTCTAAAACTTGGTGGAATTTTGTTTTATTTGTTTTGTTTTCTAAACAAATTATGGCTTATAAAGAACAAGTTTGCTTTCCAGTACAATGTCAACCGTAGAAGAACAGGCAAACATCTGAAGTTTTATTTGAATCCCGTAACAGCCAGTGTTGGCTTTAAAAAGTCCCTATGTAGCCTGTCTTGTTTCTGGTTGAGAACAGGCTCCACACCAGAATCTGAATTATCGCAGTGCCCAGCGGGACCAGGCAAATCAAACCAAACATAGCATCGTGAAGACTTGGAAGTACACTGGGTGGGGGGAGAAACGGGGAAGATATAAAACATAGTTAGTTTTTCCAGTGGCTTCTTATTTACTCAAAGCTATTTAATGAAGCATTTCTGAAAAGTTTTATCTATGAACCCATTTAAAAATTAAAAGAAATTTTGTCATATAACTTCGATTTTTTTTCCAAATAATTGAATAATTACATAATCTCTACCTTTCAGTTGCTCATACCGGAGATGGCTGGTATGTAAACCTATGATCACACGGCCTGGTAAAAAGTGCTCCAGCTACAACAGAGGACTGAGGGCCAAGGTAAGAGCACAAATCATAGACACGTACATGTGCATGCTCATAATACCTAAGTCACGATGAATCTTAAATTCAGCTGATTGGTTAAGAAGAAAAGTCTTGAAATTATTATCCCACAGGTTTTAAACAAAGTGTAGGATTTGGGCATTCCTTTCTAGTACTAAACTTACTTCCATTCAATGCCCTTAGAGGTTACAAGAGGAAACCAGTGTTAGTAATATTCAGAAGTGACATGGTCTGATTTTCTGTGAAGAACTTTCATTAAGCCCAAAGATTGCCACGGTTCTCAATGACATTGCTGGTAGATATTTTTCATTTAAATCATATACAGTACAAAAGGGCTCCTGATTACTCAGAGTCTGATTATCTGGTCTGTAGCCTCTTTTTGGTCACCTGGATTATCTAAAACAGCACCTCATTCATTCAGCCAATTGAAGAAAAATTTGAAACAGTGAAACTATATGATACAAGAAAAGGAGGCAGTTTGTTACATTTTCGTGCAAAAACCAATCACTATTACGAGAATCTAGGTGTCATTCATTCATTTAAAGGCTAAGTACTGTGAGATTATTAATGTGCAGGGTACTGGGCTACAAACTGGGTATTCGTGTAAGGCAAAACTGATAGAGTCCACACACATGGAGGTTACCTGTTAGCACAGGAGACAGATCTTAATCAAATAATCATAAATAGGTTTGATTTGCATATGATTACACAGGATGACTGTAAAAATTGCTGTGATGGAAGAGCTCAAGGTATTAGATAAGAGTTCATTGTCACAATGTCTGCCTACTCTTGGCCAGTGAGCCCAGGATGCTCCCTAGAGGAAATAGTATTTGAGCTGAGTTCTGAACCCTACATGGGCATTAACTAGAAGACCTCTGAGATAACCACAGAGGCCAGGGTCACAGGCTGGGCCACCCACTATATATCTACTGCAGCTTCTGGGGCTAGCAGAAGCATGGACAGTGCTGTCAGGATGTGGTGACACTTCTATTCCACCCAAATTATCTATGGCAAGCCCCATTTCTAGCGGCATACGGTGTTTTTTCTTCCCAGCATGTCTTCCTTTAAGAAAACTCCTCTCCCCTCTTCCTTAGTAAGCCTGCCTCAGTCCTTGAGACTTGGTGGAGCCCGACTGCCCCAGCCCCACCGCCAAGGTCAAGCGCATGTCCAGACCTGGTCAGAGGACTCCACACCGCAGGGTACAACTGCTGCCTCAGCGACGGGCACGTGACTCACACAGTACCTTTCACGGTCCACCCAGGGACTTTTACTGAGCTACTAGAACAAAAGTCCATGTTTCCTCACAATCTTGGGCTTTTGGCCCCTGTAAACCTGGAGTTATCTTGCTGCCACATGGTGAAAGCTTATACCCGACACAGAGAGAAAGTTCGAGATCCAGTTCTGCCGGACTTTTCAGTTGCCTGAGCTGCTATGTTCCTTTTTAAGCTGGCCTGCATTGGCTTTCTGTCATTCGCAGCCAGGGTGGTTTGAATAATGTACCTTTCCAATGGGTACTTGTGCCCAAATTACCATGAATTGGCTGCCTCTGACCACTCTAGGAGAATTTAGTGACTTCTAATGGACCACTACCGATAAAGACAGGAGGTTTGAAATAGCTGAGCACAGAGTTTGACAATGACAGGACAAGGTCGTGATTGCACTTTTGAACTTGATGCTGCAGGTGCTCGCAGGCACGACGCTTCTCTTGCTGACGCTGACTGTTCGCTGATTGGAACCACGAGACAGACTAGACGGGAGAACCGGGCCAACAATGGGCTCAAGATGCCCCAAAGGTAACGGAAACCCAGGTTCCGCTTTGAAGCGGCATAAATCACACATGCCTCAAACACAAAAAAAGAAAGGAAGTGGCCTGATCAAGACCTTTAAACAGGGGGAAAAAAGCCCATAGAGCCATGGCCATGAGCGGCCAGGCACAGAATTGTTACAATGTGTTCAGAAACCCGGTGTGTCATGAAAAGACTGGCTTCTGCTTGGCTGCGGCCCCTCCATGCTTTTTGTCTGAGTGTTGGGGTAGCAGCGGGAGTCCATTATCCTCCAGTGCTCTGTAGTTATAACAGATTCCAGTTTCAGAAATGTCAAGAAATTGGATTCCACCTGCCAGGGGTTCTCTCTGGGAGATTTTCCATCTCTGAGACAGAATTGTCTTTCTCTCTGTTTGCCATGGTGAGAGGGCATGGGGAACACCTGTGATAATCTGCAGAGGCAAAGCCTTGTGTAAGCACACCAACCCATCAGAGAGAAAGCCTTAGGCTGGAAGTTCAAGGGCAGCCAGGGGAATGAATGTTTAAATGAATAAGGCAATTTGATCACTACCATGTTGTGGTCTAAGACCCAACACTTTCAGGCTTACGTTGTTGATACTGAAATTTAAATTTTTTTTTTTTTTTTTTGGAGACAGAGTCTGACTCTATTGCCTGGGCTAAAGTGCAGTGACGTCATCATAGCTCACTGCAGCCTCAAACTCCTGGGCTTAAGCTATCCTCCTGCCTCAGCCTCCAGAGTAGCTGGGACGACAGGCATGTGCCACCATTTCCCGCTCACTGCTTCTTTCTTAAGATTTCCTCTTTCACTTAAAATGTTATTCTAAGCAGAAAGAGATGCTCATGATTTTAGAGAATTTCTTTTCCTCTCACATTATATCTATCCCACTGGAATATGAATGAATCTATTGACTAGTTAGGCTATTGTGTCTTCAGAATGTCTTCACCTCTCATTTCCTACCTTAACAACATTTTTGAATGAATCTCTGGTAGAAAAATAATTCTGAAGTCCTGCTTATGATTTCATTCATTCAACAAATATTTATTGCACACCTACTGTTCTATGTGCTTTGGATACAGAGTAAACAAATCCACCGTGATCCTTGCATTCAACAAAGTTTACATTCTAGTGGAGGCAAAGAGACAGTAAACAAATATATTTAATATCATCTTCTTGTAGTAATAACAATTGCACCTCTGCTCATGGAAAAAGTTTTGCACCCAATTTTCTCTTACTATCTTCTACTTTAAAAAAAAAAATCTACCTGTAGGTAATAACATTCTAAAATATTACTTCCTGGTGCCCTTTACCTTGTTTTCTTAGCATATACCCACCAAACCATTTGTAAATTCAGCTGTGTGAGGTAAAGGGGGCCATACAAATTATCATACTCTCTCACCTGTAATCCTATCATTTTTAGGACCTTCCACATCACAAAATTTAAAGCAAAGTCTCATTCCTTTCCACTCTCCTTTTCCCCTATCAGTATCAGCTCAAAAAAAGCATAAAATTAATCCTGATGGCATCTGCGAAACAACTTCACGGCCATTTGTATAAAAATAGACAATTTGGCAGTGGAGTTGCTACCAAAACCAGTATCAGTGAGCACCCCTGTGGAGAAAAGGGGAGCTCAGGATTGAAAAGGCCAAAGAAACCTAAATAAGGTTAAGTGGCAACGTGGCCTCTTTTGAATTAGGGCCAGGGAAAGTTGAGTCCACATGAACTGCTGCTACCTCAAGAACAGGAAGAAAATTTCTCCTTCCTGGGCTCAGCCCGATGAGTGGCTTTCCAGAAGGACGTGTCTGGCCCTGTGTCTTAGTCAGCCTGGGCTGCCATAACAAAACATCACAGATTGGGTGGCCTCAATGACAGAAATGTATTTGTGTACAGTTCTGGAGGCTGGAAGTCCAAGATCAGGGTGCGAGAATGGTTGGGTTCTGGTGAGGGGTCTCTTCCTGGGTTGCAGACAGGAAGCTCTGTTCTTGCATGGGAGGGGCAGGAGAGGGAATAGATATTCCTCTTTGGTATCTCTTCTTACAGGGGTACAATACCACCACCCAGGAAGGATTACAACCCCATCACCCACCCTCACGGCCTCGTCTAAACCTAATCATCTCTAAGGGCCCCATCTCCAAATACCATCTCATTGAGGATTAGGGTGTATGAATTTGGGGGAAACATAATTCAGTCCATAGACATTTTTCTCTCATTGCTACTCACTTTTGCAACAACCTTGAAGAAGACACTGGAGCTTAGACAGGTCAATTAAATCGTCCAAAGTTACACAGCTAGTGAGTTGGGAGCTGGAGCTGAGACTTTTACCTAGACCTGAACTAAAATCTCTCCAAAATAAAATGGTACCTCTAATATAAATTTATCAGAAGGCAAAAACTCAGTTTTTAAGAATAAGGTCATATACTTCCTGTGGAATGAGTTAGCATACTCTCCCCGAAAGGCAATTGCCTTTGACAAATCATGTCAAGTACTGATAGTTTGATATGATCACATGGTTGTTATGAAAATATAAGGATTTAACTCCCTATACACCTATTTTTCTTTGGGGGATATTGTTAATGTTTCCATCTATAAAGGCTAAATGGGAAAAAGCAACAGTGTGGTATTTCTCCAAAAACAAAACAATAAACACCTAAACTTGATTATCTTTTCCTTTGGACATAATTTTGTTCTCAAGTGGTCCATTTGCAATGAAATACTAACCCCTACTTATAGAGGAAAATAGGGAAATGAACTATGGGGAAGATAGTTCACTTCTATCTGTTGTTTATGATGTCCAACAACATCCTCATTGATAATTCCATGGTAAAACTGAGAACATACATTATTGTGGTCCTACGAGCTTCTGGTTAGAATTCCCTCCACAAAATTTCCCATGGCAGCCCCATTTCTGACATAGTCAGTAAACTGA